TATTTATAATGCTACATTCCTCACAACTTATTTGAAAATATTTAAACGATCTATCTTTTGAAACGGTCTTTAGATCTGTGAACTGGACCATCAACTGTGCCTATGTCGGTCACCAACTTGACCAACTCAGGAAAGACAAAAGTATGGAATATTTAGAGTGGCTAGTGTGAATTTGGTATTACTCTACCAAACACACCTGCATTACTTTTATAATACAGGGTGATTCAAAAAGAAATCTTAAGCCTGGAGCAAAATAATAATATGAAGCCAGAACATTTATTCTGCTTTACGTCCAACTTCAACTTCCCCGTGGTGAGCGTGGGGACACTATTACACAGCAGACTTTCAGAATCGCAAATTTTATCTATTTCAAAGGACTTCATTTGGCAAACTGAAGATACGATGCTAAAAATCAAACTCCGAAATGAAAGCAAGAAATCGACGGACACAACAGGTCCAAAAAGGACCCATTCTGTTAAATAGTCCAAAAGTAGCTTTCTAGTCAAAAGTCCAAAGTAAATGTATCCCAGGTGTGAGGGCTGAAGAACGATATTCCACAAGTCCCATACATAGTCATCACAATCTCTATTTCTCTTACGCTGACACACACAGGCATAAACGCAACCCCTTTCTCAGTTGCCCGCAGTCTTTTGCAAGCAAACACACAGCGGTGCAGTGCGGTGAACTTTGAGACACACGGTATTTTCCGTCACCCACAACCTTATCTTTTGAAAAGGGTGACTTCACTTCAACGAAAAAGTAAATCAGAGTTTAACCCCTTTAAGCTTAAAAAATGCACGTGAACTGAAAACACATCGAGGTTGGACCAGGCCTCTCAATCAAGGGTCACCATACTTCTTTGTTTTTCTTTCAAGAGGGCCTCTAAAGTAGGCCGAATTGCTATATTTGTTCAGTACAGTGTACTGATCTATCCCATCGAAGCCGGGCAAGTGTAATAATACAATTTGCTAGAAGGCCATAAAAAACACAATTATTTTGCTCAGTAGATGTCAATGAAATTATGATTAATTTATATTAGTGATCAAGTAATGGGTATGCAGCAAATATAATTATCTTCTAAGTTTTTGTTTGTTTGTTGTTTGTATGGAGGCGGGTCAAATGAAATGACCTCACAGGCCGGATCTAGTCCGCGGGCTTAGTTGGTTCGGTGATCTCTGCTCTAAATGGACCGTACATTAAATGGAGGTCAAAGTTTGCTTTTTTTTAAAAATGTCATAGCTTACTTTTTAAGTTTGGGGAGCGTATCTAGTTAAATTGGAACTTTTGCGGATATGGCTGCATATTCTCTAATACGCATTTGGATAGAATCACAGGTATGTCTTGGTATATAGCTCCTTACCTCTCATCCAATCAGTTTATTTCTTAATTTTTAGTAAATGTTTCGTCTTGATTGTTTTCTTCTTTCATTAAAGTGTTGTTATTCAGTCACACCTACCCATTTTAGATGAGAAAAGTGGTCATCTTTTCATGCCGTCCTTTTGGACAGCACCATTATAATAGCGAATAACAATCCACAAGGGTAGAAGCACAGGTGGCTGGTAGGGCAGGCTCGACTATTTTGGTTTAAAGAGTCAATCAACACAACAAAAACCTGCTGACGAGAAAGCATCGTCGATAAAAAGAAGTCAGGACAGCCCTGTAGAAGGACAATACAAATTTTAATATTTCTGTTAAACTAAAAAAGAAGAAAAAGAAAACGTCTTGTGGGAGGGGAAAGGAGGTGGGGGCGTCGCCGGTAAATCCCGCCCCCACACACACTCACCTATCCCTTTTACTGAGCTAAGGGCGTGGACTGTAGTGATTTAACCTTTGCCAAAGTGCACGTACTTTTCTATTCTGACCAATCTAATTCACAAAGGAAAAGTTGGAACCAGGGATTGACACTGAAAGTAAGACGCATTAATACATTTGCAAAGAGTGGTTTTAAATGAAAATCTGGCAAAACCGTAGAACGCTTCTGAGCATTCACAAAAAGGTAAAGGTGTACTAAAATCAGTAGCTAATACAACATAAAAGACACAGGAGTCTCTGCTGTCATTTCTAAAAGTATAGTATGCAGTTTTAGCAATTTTACAGAAGAACCCCAAAATTAACAAAATGTTGTTATCAAGAAAACAAGATTTTCTTCAAAGTTAATGAGAAAGTGATAATCAAAATTGTATTCTAAAAAATTATATTGACTTCGAGTATTTGCAAACAGTTTGTATTCTTGGTAAAATCATTCAGCTTTTTTTTGTTCCTGGATTTGTTTGTTTTGTTTTGCTGGGTGGGTTTTTTTGTAAATTAGGGGGAGGGGGGAATCTCGTGTAAAATTATAAAAACTACTTTACATAGAGATGAATTTTAAGGAGGACGGCAGTCTGATCTATGGTGTAGCGGTCAGGCGTTTCACCGTCGCAAGCACGAGGCTCATGTTCAATCCCCGTGTAGGGGTGATTTTCATCTAGTGTCTCGGTCTTTCTGCTTGGTCATTCTATCACTCTCAGCCCGAGTTGACCCTAACGGAAAGGGCAAAACTTGCCTCTTAATGATAAGAATGATATGGTTAGGATGTAAAACACGAACGTTAATTTTTTTCTAAATCGTTGCAGGAAAGAAAGTACTTGGGACCCATCTGAGCATTCGCAAAAATGAATGTTACGAGTAGAATGAGAAGCCAACGTGATAGGTGTGACACTGGGGGGTTGGTGGGCGCTCTGGTTTGACTTGCTTGTTCTTTCCTATCGAACATTCATCGTCTTCAAATCTCCTATTTTTTTCGCTTTGTGTGTTACTGTCTAGTAACACCTCTGATCTTCAGAATTTACATGATCTATCTGTTTTTTGGAAGTGCCATAAAACTCTTAAGACACCTCTTGTAAATTTTCCTTTTTTTTTCCTCTGTAAAGTATGACGCTCGACATGTATATGCCCTAATTGTGTTTGAAGTGCCGTAATACTCTAACAACATCTTTTTTAAAGTATGACGCACGCTTCATACACGCGCGGCCTCAAAGGCCTTATCTTGCTGTTAATGGTGAGGTGTAAGAAACCACGAGCACGTGAAACCTCTTTCGGATACTTCTCATTGTTTCAACTGTTTATTCATTGCTTCAACCTTTCATCAACCAACCCACGCCTTTGTGTCACGGGTTTTAGTAACGGGAACTAATGATACCACCCTCTGAGTACAACAAATATGTGGAACTTTTTGTGACAATTTTATTGTTGGCCACTACAATAGATGCGTGTTGTCGCATTGTGTATAAAACAACACATTAAACCAACAGCCCTATCATTATAGTCGATGTTCACGGAGTCCGCCTTCATTAGCAATTTGGGACTTGACGGATGAACTAGGAAAACTCAGCAAGGTGGGTCAAAACGAAACGTTTCTTTAAAATCTCTCTCTCTGTCTTTCTCTTTCTCTCTCTCTCTCTCTCTCTCTCTCTCTCTC